TTTCGCCACTTTCAGGTGACTCTTATGGCCTATGGAAAAGCACAGATCATCGGAACACTCCAGCCACGGTTGACAGAATTTCCTATGGTTAGATTAGAAACATAGATAAGAGGAGTAGCAGATATTAGAGAGAGTTGGATAACAGGAGTTTTTTTCCCGTATATCCATTCTACATTGAGAATGCCTTTCTGGTTGGCACGCTGCTCTCATGCACTCTGCAGTCCTGATTAATGTATGGATACATGAAGGGAGACTATTCGGTCCTCATCATTGCTTTTTGGGCTCGGCAATCTAATTATCTGACCGTACTGTCACCTGCAAAATCACTCTTGGGGGCCGTCCATAAATGCATAAATGACGTCACGCGATTTTGGACCATTTTTGCTCCCCCCCCCACCCCACTGTCACACGGCGTCACAAAAACTCAGACCCCCCCCCCCTCAAATATGACGTCACAAAGCTCTGCCCCCCCCCCAAAAAAAAATCAAATATGCTTCAAATCGCTTTAAACTATTGTCACATTGTAGTGCGTATTTAATGTTCCGCTGCACTCTGATGTTGTAGCAGAAAACATGTATTAAAACGTCTATTTAATTAAGTAGAACGTGTTTCTATATTTATTTAAAGTTGCGTATTTTGATGTGACGTCACATTATTTCTCAACCCCCCCTCGTAGCACATCGTCACAAATGTCTGACCCCCCCCCCCCCCAGGTGCGTGACGTCATTTATGGACGGCCCCTTGAGGGGAATTATGGCTGACTCTGGCACGCTGTTCAGAAATGTTGACAGAGGTGGGAGTCCGCACACACAGTACATGCGCAAGTCAGCCCTGGAGGTGTATCACTGTTACATTGCATTGATGGCTTTATTTTGGTGATTTCTAAAACGTTTTTTTGGTTTGGCCATGTTTTTGTTTATTGTAGTACGGAGTTAGACTGATGGCCTTAATCTTAGTTTTCTTGTTGTTGTTGTTGTTTGACTTGCATCCCACTGGGATTTTTGCACACAGCGTTGTTGGTGTACGGTGTTTTGTTTCAGGAATATTTTGATGATTTTTTTCCTGGATTTTCTATTTAGCACAGTCACAAAGTCACTTTAAGATGTTTTTCTTGTTCGTGTTTTTGTTTGTTGCGGTTGCACCCGATTCAAGAGCAGAATGGCTCACAGGGCTATACCAAATAAATGAAACTAAACTATGAACTATAAACACAGGCACAACGAAATAGACAGTGCAAACATGTGCGAGCAAGGGGTGTCAGATGAAAAGAAGTTAAGTACAGGAGTAAGTTACGAAGTAAATATTTATTTAGCAAGTTGGTGCAGTGGTTCGAGTGTCCATCTCGTTATTCCTCTGAGGCTTACACAACAAGTACCACTCAGTGGGAAGTAACCTGGGGTTGCCCTACACTGGCCGACGCAAGTCATGGGAATATGGAATATTGCAGCGCCGTTTCAGGGATTCCAGTGCAGACGAGTGCAGCCCAGATGTTGATTTGAGCATGAAGTTGCGTTCCCTTTCAGTAACATCGATTGATAGCCTTAACATGAGCAAGCTCATTGAGATGTATCACCCCTCTCAAAGTAAACAAGATGTATCATAATTCAAAAGAGAGCCTTATTCATTTAGCAGTCGTCATAATGTTTACGATTCATATTTAGGCTTTGACACGCGCCCAGATTGACTTAAGCTTGCGAATAATAAAGTCTTGGGGTCTTTAATTATCCACTTTATAGCAGACAAAATGCTTTGGAAATCCCCCACAGAATTATCCAAATCGCCACGGGGGATGGAACGGTGGAGTCAATTCACGCGAGCTAAGCCAGCTGTGAGCATGCAGACCTCCGCATACTATTCATCCAACCAAAAAGATGTTATGGCAACTTTGTTAGAGATTATAATTCCTGGAAGGCAAGCAGGAATGTGAGGGGGTCAGTAAAAAGGCAGTTGTTTCCATGCTCAAACGATCCCTGGGTCGCAGCCGCTTGTCACCACGATTAGCCCTGAACCAGTGGTGGAAATTCCACATTCTTTTTGTGGGGGTCAGTCTCTCAATATTTTGGCCACCGTTGACTTCCCAGAAATCGGTATCTATTTTACCGTTTTACTGAAGGATGATGATCTGAGCAACACCCAACCGTGATTTGGGTGAGGTTAAATGTAAACAAAAAAATGTTTATTTATATTTTCGTGAAGCGAATTTATAGATGCTTCCCGAAACATTTGTATGGAGTGTATATATACGTGCGGTTTGTGCAGTGCTGATAAGATCGCGTGTGTAGTTTTACATCCTGGAGAGTAATCTGTCATCATAATAAACACATTCGATTGCTTCCATATACAGCAGGAAACATTTAGGGATAATTGCCAGAACAAAATATAATGTTGGGACGCTCCCTTCTTGCACACAACGGGTATCATTCTTTGTATAGAACGTTGTAATACCTAATCATGGTATGCGGGATCCATCCATGATAAACACAGTACTGTTACATAGAAAAATAACAGTAACTGCACACTTGCAAATACAATCCTGGGTTCAGAACTGCGCAAGCTTGAAGGATACCTGTCATTGACAAACACAGCCTTATCACTCAGAATATGTCGTCAACTAATGTTTGAGGCTGTGACCATTTTTTTACGAAATTGACACCTGAGGATCAGGTCAAAGTGAACCTCACGAGCAACGGGCAAATGCTTAATCCCCTTTGGTGACCCTGAGCCGATGGTAGAAATTCCACTTTAAAATGTTTATATTCACAAAATCACCCTCAAGCGTGCCTGATCTCATCCAGTCATGGAAGCTACGCAGATTTGAACCTGGTCAGGACTTAGATGGGCAACTGTCTGGGAAAGCCAGGTGTTGTAGGCTTTTGCTGCCAGGTGATCAGAAGATGGCAAGTCGGCAAAGGAATCTCGAATATATCTGTATGGAGTTTTAAGTGCTATCTTCCCTTTGCTCTGGGTTTCTCCAGGTGCTCTGGCTTCCCCCCATAGACCAAACACTCGACAACAGAATTCGTCAAATACCCCGATGCAGGACCCTGTAGGTGCTGTATGACAATGGCTGAAATAGAGGGCTGCGACTCAACTTGGCTTTTAGGTATAAATGAAGGGCATAATAATTTGTATTATCTAAGTCTATTCAGGGAGCTCAGCACTTGAGTGAGTAGCTCGCATTTGAAAGGTTGCGATTTCAAATCCTGGTTGGGTGTCGACTCAGCCCATCATTGCTCTCGGATCGCTAGAATATATACTACTTTGTGAGGAAGTCAGCAGTGGTTGTCCTAACAAGAAACTCAAAGCTATAATGATGATGTAGAATTTACACCAACCACTGGCTCAGGGTTGTAGACACGAAATAAGCCCCACCTCAATGCTCACTTGAAGAAGAAATACCTTTGACTTTGAGTATCTCCATAGAGTGACCACAGCGACTTGATGTAACAAACCTGGAATTTGATCTCGCAATCTTTATATCCATGTTCTTCTAATTGCGAGACGGCCGCTCCAACTACAGAGCCACCCGGTTTGATGGTTACAAAATATTTTCAGCCTGTGCTTAATCAAAAACACATTTTTGGCGAATGAACAAAAGTGACACTAATTTAAGCTGACGGACAGCGTCAATATGAGATGTTAGTTAATAACTGGCTGTGATTTTTAGGTTATAGTTGCGTGAGATACTCTTTGGTTCTTTCGGTGAAGTCACGTAGAAAGAAAATAAATTAATAAAAATAATAGAATACGACGTTTCGATTGCAACACAAGCAACCATCATCAGGTAAGAATTAATTAGAAGACAAACCTAGTAAACTTAGAAATATAATGCAATGCAACACAGAGAGTCAGCTAACACAACAGTCAACACCCCACCTGGTTGATTACGTTCTTCCAAAGATTGCTAAATTTGAGAGAGAGACAAAACACAGACACGGAGACACACAGACAGACACACCAGCAGATAGGAAGAACGTAATCAACCATGTAGGGTGTTCACTGTTGTGTTAGCCGACTCTCTGTGTTGTATTGCATTATGTTTCTAAGTTTACTATGATTATCATCATCAGGTGATGATTGCTTGTGTTGCAGTCGAAACGTCGTGAGAATTTTATTGCTTTATTTTTTTTATCATTTTATTGTTTCCCTTCTACGTGACTTTACCGAAAGAACCAATAATATGAATCCCTGCAGTCACGAAAGCTTTAAATCAAAATTTACTATGGTTGTTTTTTCATTAATTCTTACCTGATGATGATTGCTTGTGTTGCAATCGAAACGTCGTTTTATATTATTTATGAATGTGTTTTTTCTACGTGACTTTACCGAAAGAACCAAAGAGTAATTCCTGCAGTCACGAAAGCTTCGAATCTAGTTTGTGTGAGATAGTTGATGCAGTATGGAGTTTAATAGCTGAAGTGTTGCGAAGTGTTCGTGTAAACTCCCGCGTCCATAAATCACGTGACACTGGGTTTTCGTTCTTTTCTGATCACTCTCTAATGAGCGTCCAGACACTGCACAAAGTGCCGGCTCAGCAATGACAAACGCTGCCAGAGCAGTGTTTGGATAGTGCAAGTTGCTTTTGATCGTTTGGCACCATCTCCAGGAGTGTGGCGCTGCGTCAACCTTTGGACATGTGATTGAAGACCCAGGGAAAAATTGTATTCTCGTAGGTCAGGGGTGGGGAACCTTTTTTCTGCCCAGAGCCATTTGGATAATTATAACATCATTCGCGGGCCCTACAAAATTATCAACTTTTAAATTAGCCTGTTATATTTGGTCAAACATTTAATTAACTCGCCCCTAATGTGATGGCTGGAACTGCTTCTTCTTTGGTTAGGCGTGTGGTGATGGTAGCTGGTATTGATGATGTTAGCTGGTATTTATGATGTTAGCTGGTATTGATGATGTTAGCTGGTATTGATGATGTTAGCTGGTATTGGTGATGTTAGCTGGTATTGATGATGTTAGCTGGTATGGATGATGTTAGCTGGTATTGATGATGTTGCTACTCGCAACTGCTTTTCCAGGTTTGCTCCTAGATTTATTGAATTTTGAGTCCCGCCTGCGGTTGCCTTGGCAAGGCCAGACCAAATTATTTCGGGGGCCTCATACGGCCTGCGGGCCGGACGTTCCCCACCCCTGTTGTAGATGGACAAAAATAATATCAGTGTAATTGTGGGAAATGCCATCGTTGTTGTCATCATCGTCGGCCTTGGTCATTCCAGGCCTCCCTAAACTGCCGCCTTCTCTCGGTACTAATATCTCTTTCAAGATGTCTGGTCAGCATGGGAGAGAAGCCCATAATAATCTAGAGGCACTCTCTAGCAGCAGTTTGCAAGCATAGGTCCCCAGCGTGTTTGCGGATTGTACCGCGTTCCATTCGGCATGATGTCTGACGTGTCGCTCCACGTGCTGGAAGCTCCTTCAGGAACAGCTCCATCCGGGAAACTGCTGGGAGCATCTGCAGGAGCAGTTTAAAAAAAATGCTTCCGAAAAATGGAGCGAAACGTCAGGCATCGTGCCTAACAATGTGCGGTACAATGACAAAACACATCGGAGAGGTGTACAGCGCAACTGCGAAAATCTACACAGTAGGTAGTTTGCAACCAATGATTCATGGAGAGGCCTGGGCTCAAAAGGAACTGGGATGGAGTCCAGCCAGGCTCTTACTACATGAAAACTGATCGAGCTGCTTTTAGAACAACACAATAGCTATGTATATTTTTTTCCTCTCACATTGTTGACTTGTGACAGTTGAGGGACAGTGGTATTATTTTAAGTTGTGGACAATATAGAAGTGTCCTAAAGAGCTAAAACCATGTCAGAGCACTGGGCTGGCACTGCTGATATCTGGTATTTGGCCATCATTCATTAAACTGATTATCATACTGTGCAGCGAAATTATTGTCTCACCCTGTAACCAATGAGTGCATTCAAAAACAACAACAACAACCTATGCTGAACATTTGCTTTGTCACTTAATCCGGCATATTCTACCCGTGTGAATAAAAGTTTACAAACAGGTTACGTGACACAAACTTAGTTATTTATGGGGTGCATTAAATTCTGGTGACTATTGTGGAAAAAGAGGCCCGTTGAAGTGACTTCTAAAATAGTTCTGCGACGTCATCTTCCGGGGCCATTCCCTAGCACAAAGGTGGTGTTACGCTGATTACTGTGGGAGTTCCAAACGCAAATGTATTTTGTGAGAATCACAGCTTAACTTGCAATGCATTTAGGGAAGAAAAAAAACATATGTAATAATAAAATAATATAAACGTTTTATAGTCAGTGAAGTGTTTGAATGCATTACAAAGCAGCGTCAATACAGTGATATTTAGCTGCTTACATGTCAGTGCAGTGCGTGGTGTATTCGCTTTACACATCACAAACATGTTAAGTGTGATTATTGATCGGTGACTAAAGCCGTCCTGTTGTTATTGAATAACCCAGGCTTCTCGGGCCACGTCGCATGGCAACTGCATGGCTCCATGGTGCATGCCTCACTCATTTACAACATGTCAAGTTTTTCTGTCTCTCGTTCAACCATGAAAAAAATTGTCACGTTGTTTATGAGAAGGAACAGAACCAGTTGATGTGAATGTAATAATGTATGTATAGTCTCTTCTTTATGTTTCCTGTACCCTGTTGACTCTAATCCGTTAACTGGGGGTGGGGCTTAGCGGGCACTGTGGCTATGAATAATCCTCGTAGCGGCCTTTGGCTGCTGGCCATCGAAACAAATACGGCCACTGCATTGCGCGCTTTCAGATGCGCTTCTGCGGCCGTCTGGAACGCTCTTGCTTGCGATATTAGGAAGCCACTGGAGCTATGCGCTTTTTAATGTAGATTGAAAAATAATTTCTTTAAAACTGCTTTTTTGCGTTTAGTTTGTTGTCTTTCCCCTGCACCTCCGATTAGCACGGTTGGCTACGTATGGTGCGAAAGAAATTCAACATACATATACTTACATTAATCAGTTTTCTTGACTCTTAGAATGTTGCGAGTTCAAATCCCCTTTCGTGGAAGTCGACTCGGCATAATTTCTCTGGCGTCAATAAAATGAGTACGACTTTGTGAAAAAGTAAACGGTGATTTTCTTCTGCAACGACTGGCCCCTGCCATTTACTATTAAATACAGGAGTTGATATGGGGAGCGATGGCGGAGTGATTAGCTCACTGCACTTTGAATTCGGTGGGACTGAGTTCAATTCCCAGTCACGGCTAATATCAGTGGTGAGTGATATCGCAATTGATATTGGGCCCACCTGACCAGCTTCAAAAGTGGCTTAATATAATATCACACGGCCAAATAACATGACATCCATGCCATAACGTTGGCATTTCAATGCATATATTACAGTGGGGGGATATGGAAATTGAACTGTCAACTCCATGAAATAACTGCGCGATAACCGTGCTGACCACTACACTCTGTCGACATCTCTATTATGCGGCTTGAGATATGTTTCAGGTCGAGTTACAGCGTCTCCTTGTTTACAAGAGCCCGCGGACTATGTTCATTTCCATTGGCGGACCTGATATTTTTTATATAGCTTGGGACATTCTTGCCATCGGACAACCGCTGCTGGCTCGCCACGGTGTTGGTACTTAATGTAACCATTCAAGATTAATAATGATGATGATGTTGAGTCAATTTCAAACTCGGTTTTAACCTGTGAGATGAACGCTTTCACTAAAGTGTCACTCAGTCAGATAAAAAAATATTGACAAATTTGTCCACACCATCCCGTGTAATTGTGGAACCGCTAATGTTTAATTTGCCCCTTATTTGCTTTGCTGAAATGTCACATGTTTGGATGGCTTCTGAAATATTTTGCAGTCAGGGACCGTGTTTCTGTTTACAATTAGAGGATGAGCTTACAGGGCTGAGACCCATGGGCAGACCGATCTATGTGTCTGCGCGCGAACCCCCCCCACCACTCCTAACCCTGTTACTTTTTGGAAAACCTCCAGCTGTTTAAGGGCCAACCTTAGGTAATCATTAACAGCTTCGCCAAACTTTCCGTGGGTCATCGTGTCATGAGAAATGCCCAGGCCACCAACCTGGCGAATCAGCAGCGCGTTGGTGGCACAGGTAACGCAATAATAATTAATTATTCAAATATATACTTATTAGGCGCCTTTTCACAGTGTCTCAAGGCTTTGTGCATGAAAAGGACAAAATAAGAACCAGAGAGGAACGGAGCCAATGAGAAGCACGTTGTTTTTACATTGATACGTTCTTTAGTTGGGACTCAAAGATATCCGCACTTCAATGCTCGCAGTGTCATTGAAATGGAGCTCCTCGGTACATCACAGCGGAATATTTGGCGTGCCACGTGTTGTGTTGTGACCTGCGTGGATAACCGTGTTAAGGGTTACAAGATTAGGCCGGGCATGTCATGCACGCATATACCCCGATGACCAAGGAGGCAGGGTGGGTGGTTGGTTCACTTTGACATCACGTGCAGAGACGCCCACCTGTACAGCGAAAAGAGCAAACTTACTGACAACCTAGATGTGACAAAATAGGAAGTTTTTAACACTTTTTTAACACTAAAAATGGTGTTTAGATGGTCAAACACCAAATAGATACCTATTGCAAGGCATCAAGTCCGCATTAACCGCACATACTTGTGGCAATTCATGCAAACAAACATTCGCTGATGATATTTGCTTTGTCTTTGAAACTGATTGGCCTACTCCAGGGACAGCCTTCTCTCTGGCCTAACACACTAGTGTTAGGCCAGAGAACTCCAAAAGGCAAAAAGATCACATATAGATATAAACTAGATGTGCCAGTCTTTGAGAATTCCTTGCGCGATTGAGTTTTATGTAAATATACATTTAAAAAAATAACCCTGGAAGGGATTTTACAAACATCTAAAACAAGGATTTTTTTGTTATACATATAAAAAGCAGATTGACATTCAGTTAAGCTTTAATTTGATAACATTTAATGACAGATAGTATCATACATATCATATGTCCACGTACTTCGAAAGGCATCAGCAATTTAATTAATTGGCCCGAAGGGGCATTAAGAGACAGACGCTGTTAATACAATATTAACGTTACCAAGTAATATTTAACAGACAGCTGAACCATATATATGATGAACAAAACATCAACAGATATTTTTTGAACAACCCTGTTTTTAGTGGGTCACGGAAGGTGCAGCAGGGAAAAAAGGCTTATTACAGTACAAGGATTTGCATGTATCAATCGCTTAAATGCAGCGGCATTTTACATCAAATTACGCAGGAAATTCAAAAATATCAGGTCAAAAATCCGTAGGTAAAGAGAGACGGCGGAGAGGAATAAAGATAACCAAGGTTACAAAATCAAGATCACCGGCAGAGGGACATAGATGACGCAGGGACACATCACGTGTCTATCACCACTGCCATGGTTACTGTTCTCATCAACGTCACTCATTGATTCGTCCACCCATACTGATGATTTGGTCTTCCTCTCATCCTCACGATGTGCAGCCACCACACTGCAGGTCAACACCACTGCACTTCCTGCTCCTCTTTTCGCACTGCTCAACTTTGAAAATCCCTCTCATCGGCTCCAAAGTCCTCATAACCTTGCTACATTTTAAGAATTGCATTAACGCTTATCTATTACAACTTCAATAGTGTTGTCCATTGATGGCCGCTTGGTGTTTTGGGCCTTTGGACCCTGTGCTCAACAACTGTGATTTTAAAAAAATCTGCGATTCTCGCACACACAGCAACCTTTACATCAATGTGGTATATGTCTGTTCATTTTAAAACCGCCATTGATAAAAAGCTTAGCTTTAAGGTGAAGTTTGTTGTCTTTCCCCTGCACCTCCGATTAGCACTGTTGGCGACATATTGTACGAAAGAATGAAACATTCATGTGTAGTGACATAGAATTGGTCACTTAGTAGAATAGCGCTTGCTGCTGGCAGGGAAGGGGATCTGTAGCTTGAAGCAGCCCTGACTGACAGCAGGCCACGTGATAGACCCGAGAGGGATCTAGGGGAAGGGTTACGGAGGGGACACGTCGAGAGCCCGCTCGTAGGTTCCAGAAGGGGGGCGTGGCCGGGGCGGAGCCGGGCCACGCTGCCAGTAAAAGAGGGGCCCAGGGAGGGGACCTCGGGGCTGTCGTTTGGAGTGGGATCCCCGTCGTCGTTGCTGCTGAAGATCGTCACCATCATCGCCGTTGTCGTCTCCACTTGACATTGCGCTGCTAGACGTAGTCGGCTGTCTCGGTTCAGCACCGTCAGTGTCAGACGGCTAGCGTTGTGTATAGGCTAGCAACCAGTGTAGAGCTGCGTTTAAACGAGAGACAGCAGAGTGTGTAACAGTGTAGGGTGTGTATTGTACAAAGTGTGCTCGGTGTTATTTAAAGAACTGCCTCCAAGAACTTACATCTCCAAGTCAGTCACTACACATATATAAATGCAGATAAGACAAAAAGACAAAAGTCACAGAGCCGTAACATGCTTTTTGGGGCAAGTGCTGTTAATAAGGACCTATGAAGCCCAGCTCGGCACACAAGGGGGTGGGTAGCTTCCTATCGTGGAGGCCCTTCTGCCAGCAGTGGTGTGAGAAAGTAATTGCAGGGCTGCACCTTGATCTGATTACAGCCAATACATCAATGGCTCAATATTTCTCTAAGTTGTTCAATTCAAGCAGCCACCACACTGCAGGTAAACTCCACTGCACTTCCTGCTCCTAAGTTGTCCACTTCAAGCATTGCAGCATCGGTATAAGAGAGAGAGACAAACACTTTTGGGTTAAAGGTGTCGACATTCAAACAGCTGCTGGACACCGCGGTGGCAAGATGTTTGCTACCTCATCTGGTATACAGGGGGTCGTGGGTTTGATCCTGACGCCTGTATATTTGGAGTTTGTTTGTTCTCCCCATGGTCGCTATGGATTTTTCTCCGGGTTCTCCGGTTTTTCCCTCTACATTTAGAATCAATGTGCATTTTAGAATATTTGGCTGCTATACGTTCCCACACGATAAGCCACTTCGTTGAGCTATTATTTGTGGACAGGTAGCTTCTGAAAAAGCTTCCATGTAGCTCAATGGGCCTTACCTGGTAAAATATATATATTTTTTAATCGCATGAGTTCACCAACTCTTAGGGTTCACTCAGATGTGCGACGTGTATTGAATCGCATCTGTTTTCCTCGAGCGTGCATGGGTTATATTTAAAGGGCCACTCATCCATGCTGCAATTATTTCAGGGATGAATTGACTTGCATTGATCAGCTCAGGCTTTATTGCACGACCAATCAGGCCAGCCGTAGTGTATAGAGAAATTGCTTAAGAATGACCAAATCGAACAGAATTACTGCACCGCTGTGTTTACTACGCGCTACAAAAGGTTGCTCATTAAGTCAACTTTACTGAATAAATCTAGATACGCAGATAATAAGGGATGGAACGTGTTCGAGTTTACGTTCTCTAGGGAGATGAAGCAATGAAATCAGCTTGTGTGCATGTGCAGGTGTTAAGTGAGGGGCAGCGATGGCTTGGGGATTCATCCAGCAGTGGCTCGATCATGGCTGACAATGATAGATAGGTAGGTGACCTTTATGATTAAGCATGTAGGAGACTATTGGTGTACAGTATATTTACAAAATGAGACCATTTTCCTTTCCTATACCCTTCCTCTCAGTGAGTTTTTATTTTAATTTACCCTGTTATTATTTTTACCTACTTGGTATGTTCACTGAAGTGCCAACACGAGGTGTCAGTTTCCTGTAACATGGCATGCTTAAAGTGCAGATGCACTTTGGCACAACAGAACTAATATTCATTTTGTATGGTTTCACAAAACATCACCATATTTATGCTTGAGGCATTGGCAAACTAACTCAGCCGCGCGGAACAACCCACACTTGTAAAGTGTTTGAGTTCAGTTTCAGTGTTTTAGTTGTCTTTTTTTGGGGGTCTGTCAGAAAAAAATAAGTACCGCTTTGTATGGCAGTCGATAGTTGCTGTCATATGGAGAGCCTGCATGACCTCTGCAATAGGAATGTGTAATTTTCATAGATTGGCCCATGGCCACCGAGAGACTTAAGCACTGTTACACGCACACCACTGTCGGATTATCCTAGTAGCAAATGAGCATATACTAGTAGTAGCTACTACTACTACATATGTAGTAGTAGTAGCTACGGGCCCTGCACTTTCAAGGGCCCCGCGCTAAATGCTTTAAAGCTACCAAATCCGGTTCAGTGATTCTGAACTTATTCCATTACTATAGTACTATACTGCCTTCGATTTTATGAACGACTAGGTGTTTAAGGTTAGCGATTTGTCGTATAATCTGGCTGTATTGCAAATGAAAAAATACAATTACTTTACTGCGCAAGTAAAACATGCACGTGTTTTAATATTTACCTTTTTTTATTTAGGGCCCCTTTACGACATATGCTACAGGCCCCGCACTAGCTTAATCCGGCACTGACGCACACACGGTCTTTATCGCGAAGGCACAGCGACTGCGATACAAGGGCAACGCCGTGTGCACACTCACGGCTAGGCGCCACCGCGAACAAGGTCAGCGGTTTACAATGTGGCTGTTCGTTTGAAGAGGCCCATCCAATTGCTTTCTTCGCTCGGCCGAGCGGTCACCCCAAAAAAGGAGCTGAGTTTGATTGTAGTTAGGCATGGTCAGTAGCCAGCGGTGGCACGGGGTGTAAGTCAACCAAGCAGAGGTCCCGAAGAAGCTCAATGGGGCCCTGGATTCATGACAAAATAGGGGTGCATCCAGTATCAGCTCAAATACTAATAAAGGTAAAGAGGGTAATTAACATTAAAAATAATTAACCTATCTCATCCCTTTATTTGCTGGATCTCTCATCTCAAGGTAGCGCTTCTCTTTGTCCACGTTTATCACATCTCGCAACATCTCTATCTCTTGTCTGCAACTCTTCTGTCATTTGAAGAGGGTTTATATAATTCAAAGCGGCAGGGCGTGGGGGAAAACAACATTTCTGCGTTGGGGCCCTAAAGGGCCTGCAGCGCCACCACCACCACCACTGCCACACAGTAGCAGACGGCCAGAAGCAGATCACTCAATCTGCTTGGGGCGCCCATGCCCCTGTCGGGCAGCCCACACGGGGGGCCACGAGTGAGGAATTTCAGGCCATGTCGTGGCACTGCCCTCATTTCCTCCCTTTCTGTCTTTAGTTATTTTTTTCCCTTTTTTCTGCCTTTTTTTTCAAAGGCCAACTGTTCACGAAAAACATTGAGCATCTATCAGTTCCTGCTGTAGGAAAACAAAATATTTAACTCATAGGAAAGGTTTTTGGGTTAGATCGCGTTATTTATAAATGTGTCGCAACCCTCCACCACCCGACACGGCCAATCAGTAAAAAAATGTGGCACGTTGACAAAAGGCAAATAGTTCACTACTTTAGTACACCGGTGTGTTGAAGAGTGAATCCACAACATTTACAATTTTTGAGTACGACATTTCGCTGGTAATT